CTTGTTGCAAATCTCACAGCTGAATGGCTTCTCCTTTGTGTGTACTCTCATGTGTTTTGCTAGATTTCCTTTCTCATAGAAGGTCTTGCTTCAAATCTCACAGCTGAATGGCTTCTCCTTTGTATGTACTCTCATGTGCCTTGCTAGATGGCTTTTCCGAGAGAAGGCATTGCTACAAATCGCACAACTGAATGGCTTCTCCTTTGTATGTGCTCTCATGTGCTTTACAAGATTACCTGTCTCGGAGAAGGCCTTGCTGCAAATCTCACATCTGAATGGCTTCTACTTTGTATGTACTCTCCTATGCTTTACTAAAGAACTTTTCTCAGAGAAGGTCTTGCTGCAAAGCTCACAGCGGAATGGCTTCTCCTTTGTATGTACTCTTATGTGCTTTACTAGAGAACTTTTCTCAGAGGTCTTGCTGCAAAGGTCACAGCGGAATGGCTTCTCCTTTGTATGTACTTTCATGTGTCTTACTAGATTACCTGTCTCAGAGAAGGTCTTGCTACAAATCTCACAACTGAATGGCTTCTCCTTTGTATGTACTCTCATGTGCCTTACTAGATGGCCTTTCTCATAGAAGGTCTTGCTGCAAATCTCACAGCTGAATGGCTTCTCCATTGTATGCACTCTTTTGTGCTTTACTAGAGTACCTTTCACAGAGAAGGCCTTGTTGCAAATCTCACAGCTGATGGGCTTCTCCTTTCTATGTACTCTCATGTGTCTTGCTAGATGGCCTTTCTCATAGAAGGTCTTGCTACAAATCTCACATCTGAATGGCTTCTCCTCTGTATGCACTCTCATGTGATCTACTAGAGTATCTTTCACAGAAAAGGCCTTGCTGCAAATCTCACAGCTGAATGGCTTCTCCTTTGTATGTGCTCTCATGTGCTTTACTAGAGTACATTTCTCAGAGAAGGTCTTGCTGCAAATCTCACAGCTGAAAGGCTTCTTTTTTGTGTGTACTCTCATGTGCTTTACTAGATTACCTGTCTCGGAGAAGGCCTTGCTGCAAATGTCACAGCTGAATGGCTTCTCCTTTGTATGTACTCTCATGTGCCTTGCTAAATGGCTTTTCTCATAGGTCTTACTGCAAATCTCACATCTGAATGGCTTCTCATTTGTATGTACTCTCATGTGCTGTACTAGAATACTTTTCTCTGAGAAGGCCTTGCTGCAAATCTCACAGCTGAATGGATTATCTTTTGTTTGTACTCCCATGTGTTTTATTAGAGTACATTTCTTTGAGAAGGCCTTGCTGCAAATCTCACATCTGAATGGCTTCTCCTTTGTGTGTACTCTCATGTGTCTTGCTAGATGGCCTTTCTCATAGAAGGTCTTGCCACAAATCTCACATCTGAATGGCTTCTCCTTTGTATGTACTCTCATGTGCCTTGATAGATGGCCCTTCTCATAGAAGGTTTTGCTGCAATTCTCACAAATGAATGACTTCTCCTTTGTATGTACTCTCATGTGGCTGTCTGTCATGAGGCTGTCTGTCTGAGGTTGTCTGTCTGTTGAAGCTATCTGTCTGAGGTTGTCTGTCTGTCTGAGGTTGTCTGTCTGAAGTTGTCTGTCTGTTGAGGCTGTCGGTCTGAGGTTGTCCGTCTGTTGAGGCTGTCTGTCTGTTGAGGCTGTCTGTCTGAGGTTGTCTGTCTGTTGAGGCTGTCTGTCTGAGGTTGTCTGCCAATGCTTGTAGTATAATGACTGGTGGCTTTCTTCATTACTTCATTTTGTAGTGTTTGTAATTTCTTTATTTACTGTTTCTCTGTTTTTGAGTTAACCTTTATTAATTTTTCATTTATTTTTTTATTATATTTATTCTGCTTGGATCCTCCCCACACACACATACACACAATGCTTTTCAATTTTTTTTTCCAGGTCAGCTTTGGTGCATCAAATATCAGTCCTAGTATACTGTTATTTGTGGAGATTATCTATTGTCTGTTTCTGTGTTTGGTATTGGATTTATCTCTTTATTCTTCATTTTAAAATCTTATATATCAATTAATTCTGAGACTTTATTTTAGCCTTTTTAATTTATTGATTGCATCTTCTATGTCTTTGCCTGATGTTTTCAGTGTGACATAATCTACTTAAATCATTTTGCACATCAACTATTTCCTCTAAATCAGCCATTAGTAGTTGAAGAGGGTTGGGCTTAGTGGAGATCCTTGTGGTCCCATCTTTATGTTATTTTCTTTTTAAGTTTTGCTGTTTACTATTGCAGTTTGAAAACTCCCTACCCCTTAGAAAGTTATAAAGTTTAGTGATGAACCTGTAATTCCCAATTTCCAGCTTTGAATAATATTGCTTCATTTATTGCAGAATCAAAAGTTTTTTTTTTTTGTTTTTTAAAATTCAGTATGTGCAGTTAATGCATACTTTTTTTCTGCTCTTCCAGCTTTATTAATTTACAAATCTATTATTTCCAGCACATAAATTGTGGTCTGACTAGGTCTGAAACCTATTTACTGTATTTCAGTAAATACAATTTTACTGTTTATCACACACACAAAAAAACTGCTTTTAAATCTGTAGGCTTATTTTATTTTAATATTGTACTGACTAGAGCATTTCTTCTTCATGTGGATGTCGTCATTTGGACCAGTAATAATTTATAATTCTTTGTACATTTTTGCAATAGTTTCCTTCGAGCCTATTTGTAAAATTTATATGTTATTTCGTCTGACTCATATGCATATTGTTTTTTTGCACTTGTTATGGCTGTTTTCACTCTATAATTATTATTTTACTATTATTATAAGTTCTTTGGTGTCTGGAAATTTTAAGTTTTATTTTTAGGTATTTTCCTAAAGTTCCACACTTTTCTTGTAGGTCTAGTGAGACACAGAAATTTTTCCCATGATTTTCTTTTTTCTTTACCATTAATATAACTTCTGTTAATTGTTTCCTATCTTGGAATAGGTTTTCCTTACTGTTTTTTTCCCGTTTGTTGCATGCTTTGTTTGTACTACTGGGTTGCAATGTTTATTCCTCCATCAAATTATTGATCCTATTTTTATTATTATTTTGTTTTAGATAGTTCATTTACTGAAAGATTTTATGCTTTCAGTATCTTTACTTTCTAGTTGTTGTTTTTTTTACTATTTCCTTCAAACATCTATGAAGTTCCATTTCTTTTCTTTAGTTTTTTGTTTTTATTTTAAGGTTAAGGTGACTTTATGAGCTTCCTTTTGCATTACTGGGATCTACTTCTGTAGTATGGCCTGGAGGTATTAGCAAAATTATATCATATTGACTAATGAGTTCAAACAGGTTTTTTGCTCCTGTAATATTTGGAAATTAATAGTTTAAATTTGGGTTCCAACACATGTACTGCTCTTATGGAAAAGGCTAAACCCCTCCAATTTTTTCTCTTCTGTCCTTTCTAATTATGTCACTTTTTAAAATTAAGCTTATCTATTCTTTTAGCCAGATCTTACATAGTCCTATCTCATTTTTTATTCATAGAGGATGTTTTTATCTAAGTATTTCTTTATCTTTTATGGTTAGAGTTCCATCATATATAGTTTGTAAGAATTTCTATAATTTCTTTCAGAATTCATGTTGATTATTACATTTGATATTACACTGACTATATTTTTTATCGTTTTCACCCATGAGAAGTCTTTATTCATCTGAGTATCTTTTTGTCATTTTATTTTCCTTATTGGAGTTCTGTCTTTCATGGGTGTTGGTAGAGACCCAATTATCGGAGAATCTTGTATTGTTTTAGTGATTGAGTTTTTATGTTGTTTTTTCTGTTTAATTCATCACTCTTTACCTGTGATTTTTTCTTAGGTTTCATTGGATTCTTTGTCCTAATGTTAAAGTTTGAGATTGATTCAATGTCTGTGCATATGATTGTGCTGTGTTGTGTCCTGTTGTTTGTATACTTGAGCTTTTTTTTGTGTGACGTGTTTTAGCTGGCTGTTTGGTGTAAGGGCTTCAAGAGTTGATGTCTTCTCTTTGAAGAGGCTTTAACTATTGATTTTTTTTTTTTTTTTTTTTTTTGGTATATATATTTTGTATCATTATTTGTTTTACATGAATTTGTGTTGGGTGGGTGATCACCATGACAATAAAAGCAGTATTCTTTATTTAGGCAACATTTGTAATTATGATTAAATTGGCCACATTTTCTGCATTTTCTATTATTATTGAAGTCATGATCCCATGCCCACACCTCAGTCACCTGAAATATTTGGAAATGGGAAAGTATATTGATGGATTGAGTAAAGATGTATCATTGCTAATTCTTCTGGGAATTGGCCTTTAAATGTTATTTTTATAGACTGTTGGAACCTATATAATTTTGATTATAATCTTTTTCCACTATTTCTGTTATGCTTACACTTATTCTTACTTTTTCTTTGATCTTTGGGGTTAAGTGTATTTCCACTGGAAATATAGTGCCATATGAACATGATTTTCCTAGAGGCCACTTGTTTGGAATCTCCCAGTCTCCCATTTTTTAATTATGTATTATTTAAATATGTATTTGTGGAAGTGAATAGTGAATTTGTTAGTCATTTTGGGTTATTGAAATTTTAGGTTTCAGATTCACCATTTAAATTGATAGGTACTATCTTATGACTTGCCCATACATCAGTGTGCCTTCAGTTGTGGCCGAAATCCTGTTTCTCTGGAGATGTTTGGGATAAGGGTCTTCTTCACTGTCACTGTTTTCTTGTGATCTGTTTGATTTGGAATCATAGTCCATATTACATTTGCCAAAGTTTCCTCCTGGATCTGCATTGAGAGTTGTGTCAAATTGTCTAATATACTCTACACTCAAAAAGCTATAAATAACGTTACATGTTTACTCTATGGTGGTACTACCCCAAATAATAGGCCTATATAAAGTGCAGTTATAGCTTTTAAAACCAGCAAAAATCATATGATTATATGTTTATGGTTATGCTCTATACATCTTGCATATATATGGGCAGACTAATTGATATAATGTAATGTAAAATGTTTATGCATGTGCATATGAATAAATATATATATAAATAGATAAATAGATATTCCAATATATTTATAAATAATTCCACACATACACACACACATATATATATGTGTAGATATATATACAGATATGTATATATACATATATACATAAGTACATATATATACATATACAGTAATACATATATATACAGATATACATATATACACATATATGAATATGCATATATATATATATATATATATATATATATATATATATATATATATATACATATACATATACATATATTTCAGTATGGATGTATGGATATGTAGACATTTGCACACACAAACATATGTATATGTGTGCATATATAATTTACATATATATATTTTTTTTCTTTTATAGGGCTGTAGACTTTTTATATCTATATTTCTTGGATCTTGTTTCTTGGAATTCTGTTGTTTTACAGTTTGTTTGTTTTTTGGTGTTATTAATTAGATCCCTGTTTATCATAATGTTATTAATGATCTATGCAAGCTCGCCATGTGCATTAGAGTACAGTAGACTACTTTTTAACTGGATAATTTTTTCCCAGTTAATAAGTAGAAAATATTTGAATTCATTATTTTTATCTTTCGAGTGCCTCCAATGGTTTGGTTTTCTCAAATCTTGGGACTTGTAGTGTTAAGAGTTTTTCTTCTGGATGTTGGCAGTTTGTTTCAAGTTTCAGTTTGTGTAGGTGTTTTCTTAGTCTTGTACATTTTGTCGGGATACCTGTGAGGCATACATCTCGGTTCCTTTTTCCTGATCTAGTCAGTGGTTTTGGGGTGTTGTCTTTGAAGTGGTTCACGGGTTTTCTTTACTGCAAGGTCTGCTGTTTATGTGCTGTGCCATTTGGTTTAATGTAAATTTGCTTTTGGGTTTCGTGTGTAATTTGTTTGTTGTGTTTGCGTTGTGCTTTTGTAGTATTAAGATTGCTGAGAATGAATCTGTGAAGATTTCCATGTTTGTTAGTTTGTTAAGTTCTATATTCTTTAATCACTGTTTTGCATACAATTTTCTTTAATCTTTGTTTTGCATACAATTTTCTTTAATCTTTGTTTTGCATACAATTCTGCTTCTATTTGTTTATTGGTAATTTCCAGAGTGATTTGTGTTCCTTTTGCTATATATAAATGGCTGTTGATGTTGATTGAGATTCCTATATTTTTGATCCTCTATAAATATTTTATAGTTGTTTTCATGGTTAATCTTTACAGTACTAAGGTAGGACAGATAGGATACACTAAGGTAGGACAAATTAAAGATATTCTTGTAGAGGATAAAAAGATACAACTGTCAGCACAAGAAATAGTCCGCAAAAACGAATGATAACACCACAAATAAAGGGAAAAGATTGTGAGAAGCACCGCTCGAAGCCAAAGTCCACCCAGTGTTCCCTCATATACCAAGGGCAAGACATTGTTTCCTCTAGGGTGTTGGGAGGCAGATCCCCCCATCAGCCCTCCCCTTA